AGGTTTCTGTGACAGGCAGCTAGGACAGCAGTTTTGTTACCAAGCTACCGCAGAAACCACAGCTCAACCACAAAAGCAAAAATCTGTAGGCATCATTCAGGCAACAGCCACACTGAGCCCTCAGACAGCAGGGAGGTACTTCCTAGGCTGCAGATCAGTGCAGGTCTACATGAAGGCTGACTCGCCATGCTCTTTGCATTCAAGGACCAGCCAGATGATTCTGTGTAAGCCTTGTCTCAACATGCAGCCAAAGGAAGAAATCATAATGCAAGTGAGCCATACCTTCCTAGCATGACTTTTGCTTACAAGGCAGCCCCAGGTAGGAGAATTATTTCCCTACATTCTGATTGAAGAAGATCCTAATGTATACTTTCCCAGTATCACAACTGTTGCTGGAGTTGTCTCCCCCTCCACCCCTGCCTTGACATTTCTTTCTGTAGAAAATGCAAGGTTATTTAGGCTAAAAAGGAAGCACCCCAATAGGAAACAAAGTTTAGTAAAGCAGTCAATAGAAGGTGACTTCTAGTCCCTCCTTCAAGGCTTACATGTTCAGCTTCTAGCAAAGACTTTGCTTTCTCTATTTTAAATCCTTATATTATCTTCCCAGCCTCTCTGAAATGTCACCCATTGAAGCAGCATTTGCAGATGGTTTTTCATCAGTACCCAGCGACCACTTAGGTCCAGACTTTTAGCCTTATGTAGGTCCTTTTCTAGCATGTGTTCTCCACAAATTCCCGGCAGAGATGAGTCTTTCCCATAAAATACTGTGAAAATTAGAGAACAGCGGGCCTCTAGTGTACAGAAATATGCTTGTGGACATTGTAAATGGGAAAGAAGAAGAACTGGAAAGAAGAAGAACCAGAAAGAAATATGATGGGTTTCACCTTCAGAGTTTCAAATTTCTAGTTTCTAATGTATTCTTAGTAACTGTGTGTGCAGCAATTTTTGCAAGGGTATTGTACAGTCCATAATGTCCCCTATGAAAACAGGAAAAAAAATAAAATTAAGAAGTAGTAGGAAACAGAATAAGTTATGGTAGGTTACAGAGTCATCATGACTGAATAGTTAAAGCTATGACAACCGTTTATCAAACTGGCGCAGAAATAACAACACATATATCTTATCATAAACACAGTGTGGGAGAAGAGGCAGACAATAAAATAATGTAATGCACTTTGGTGGCATAAGCTGAAGATCTCCATCTATTTTACATGCACACATTTTAGCTTCAAGCCTAGAGTGCAATTAATTAATAGCTCTGTTGTCCTTTGTGCCACTGAGTCACCCCAAAAAGTTAAGAGGCTGATCTGCACAGTACTGAAAACATCCAGTTCTGTGCACAGTAAGCAAAGCAAGCCTGCCGGCTGGTCATGGCAGTACCCACTCCCAACAAGGTACCCAACCCAACAAGCAGAGATCCCTCAGCTCCCCTGTGAGCCAAACTGAACTTGGAACCAAAGATCTCCTGCCATTCTTTGGAGACAGGAACTGGCCACAAATGACTACCACTGCAACACACAGAAAGCCTGAACTATGATTGTGAAGAGACTGTTGGGAATATATGTTCCAGGCTGGTGCTATTCTACAAAACTTTATACACTGGCTCCAAACCCCACCAGAATAATGCTTGAAAACAATTTACAAACTTTGGAAAATTAAAACATGACTAGTGAAGTTTAGTGATAAAACAGCTGCCAGGGACTCAAAACTACCTGCAATGACTAATTTAGTGACTGATGTCTGTCAAGGCCAAGTGGCTTGCAGATCTCCCATTTTTGTTGCACACAGATACTCTTTTTTTTTCAGCAGGCAGACCTGATTGAGGAATCAGACACACACAGATCAGCTACGAACACGCAAAAGGGCATCCTGACTGTACTGGAAAGGTCCACTAGCTAGGATTGAGGTCACCAGCATTATCCTTTGTGGTCCAAGAACTCTTCAGTGACTTTTATTTGCAACAGTGGATCAGCCCTTCTTTTTACAGTAATGACAATTCAGTCATCAAAAAATCATTCAGTATAGGTATATAGCAGTTTTATAGAGTCTTATGTCTATTATTATTAATGTACCAACATCATTACAATGTTTTTAGACCCGTTATCCAGAGAAGATGACCTTCAATGCGCAGGATATGCTAATGACCACACTCTGCGTGCATCTGTATCTGTATGCGCGTGTTTAAAAAGTATCCTCTTACTGAAAATGTGTAACAGTGCAAAGCTGTAAATAACCTGGAGAAAAATTGGGCTAATTCAGAGTGGCAGCAAAACACAGGAAGTTTATGAATAAATAACACGTGGTGAAACAAATCGGCAGTGAAACTTCTGGCTTTGCATTTTGAACACGGTGCTTGGAAGACAAAGAGGCATTTTGGGGAGAAGCAGGTAAGATCTGGAAAAGGTTAACAGCAGCAAGCTGCTCCACAGGAGCAATTAAAAGGTACAACAGAATTATTAATTACGTTATTAACTTTGTGTGTTAGCCTGGCCTCTCACAATGCACAGCTTTGTGGGATGCAAAGATCAGTTTCCTATCACAAACACAGGGAGGAAAAGGTCCTTTCTTTAGATGACATTCAAGAGGAGAAAGACTAAACACCAGAAACAGCTGTAGGAACACCTAAAGAACCATGCTGGAGAAACCTTGCTGACTACTTCTGGCAGTTGCCAAAACAAGAAGGAAAGGAACACCAAGAAACACTTTGTACAAAAAAGAAACAATTTGCTGCCAATACAAAGTTTGCTTTTTCTACTCTAACCATTGCAAGTTAAAGGCTGATTAATAAATTGATGCATAAAGGCTTAGAACTTTTCTTAGTTTTGTATTTATTTAGTGTTAAATTAATCTTCTTGACATTCACAATAATTTTTTTCATTTTTTTAAGGTCTTAACAATCAAGTTATACAAATCACACATTTCCCCCATGTGTAACTTTATGTTGTGTGTCAGGGAGTAAGGTACTTGGCCCATTCTACAGATAATTAGTTCATTAAGTGTTTACTCCCCACTAAGTACATCTCCTCATCCTCCACACAGAGTGTGTCTACCAGGGTTCTCTGGATTTGACAGTCTACATGTGCTTTCTCTGGTTTGAGAGTTTACAAATACTTTCTGAAGCACTATTTTGATGCTCAATAAAGATCTCAAGAGGTGCATACTATAATTTGTAAAATCCTGTGTGTCCTCTATGCATTCACATTTAAAGAGTGGTGAGGTGAGTTCTTTTCCAGACACCTGAAAATCTTCCCCAGGAGTCCAGGCACTCACCACAAGCAGAGTCAAAGTCACAGATCCTATAGCAGAATCTTCACACGACCCAGGGTAAGGGAAAACTTGGGAAGAGTTGAAGATGACTGGGGTTCACATACCCAGCCACTCCCTTCTCAAGGGACACAAGAAGGCTGGTCAGGACTTTTGTGTTTTCTCACATACTCATGGCTCCAAAAGCATTCCTTTTGTGAACAGAACGGAGAAAACAAAATTCCCTTGTCTGTGTGGTCCTACGGAGCAGGATGGCACATCCCTTAGTTATTTTTGGATACTGAGCCAATGATACTTCTGGATACTGCAACCTTTACAGAGCTGGACTCCAAGCAGGACAGCCTCCCACCAAATGTCCCTGGGAGGAACCACTGCCCCATGCAGGGCCCAGAAACCTCTCTCGGGGAGGAGCAGCTGGTGCAAAGGACACTGTGCCCGTCTGCCCGAGATTACAGCTGGGTGCTGTTGCTCCTCAGGGAGGTGCCAAGAGGGCCCACCCCGACTGGACGGAGGGAGCAAGGTCGCATCTCTGCAGAAAGCTAAAAACCAGCTAATGCCACACCACACACGCCCCTCCTGCCACCAACAGGTGCATTTGCGCTGCTGGAAGAGAAAACGATTTGGAAAACTGCTTTTTCTCTCTCGCTTGCTCCCCTGAATGCTAATCAGCGGCGCCGGCTAAAAATACCCAGCAAGGCTGGCTTGCGCACGGCAGATAGGGAAAATGGGGGAGCTGAAAGGCTACAGCTTCCCGGAAGAAAAAACGACTGGCGAAGAAGAGACCTCAAGACCCCCTTGCCGAACTTGCCCGCTCCGAGGCTGAGGTTCAAGCCTCTCCTTCCCAAGGCCACTGCAGGTGCTCCCCAAGGAGTCGCCGGGCCACCATCTACCGAGGCAACTGGCGGCACCACCCCCACGCAGGCTTCCACCCCCGGTGCTGCAGGCGCTCCCGGACGGGGCGTTCCGAGGGTGCTGCCGTGGCCATTCTTCCCTCGAGCCCCGCCGCCCACGGGGTGCAATCCCACAGGGGTTCACCGGCGGTGCACGAAACAAAGAGGGCTGCTGGGGACCGCCGCCCCCGCCGGCACGGTGGACCTGAGCCGGGCAGCGCGGCGTGGGGGGCTCGGTCCACTCGCTCGCTGCATCAGAGCCGCCGACAGACCGCAACGCGGTCACAGCGATGCACGGCGGCTCGCCGGCATCCTGGAGACCGCAAGAGCTAAGAAATAAATAAATAAAATTAAGAGAGGGAGAGAAGGCAGGAACACGGAGACAAGCAGCAGCCCTCGGCAACGGAACCCGCGGGGGTGTTCAAGCCCCCGCCACCCCCTGCCCGAGCCGCGCGTCCCGAGCCGCGCTCCGCGGTGCGGGGCCGGCCGGAGGGCGAGGGGCGGCCCCCCCGCGCCACGCGGGTGGGTGGGCGGGCTGGGCAGCTCCGCCGCCCCCGGCCTCACCGGGGGTCGCACTCTCCCCCCGCCACCCGCGACGGCCCGGTGGGCCGCCCCCTCCGTCCCCCCGCCCGCCGCGGCTTCCATCCATAATTAATCGCCCCCCCGCAGCCGCCGCGATAAGAGAGGGCGGGCGGGGACGAGGAGGCGGCGGCGACCGGGAGGCGGTGGGGGGAGCGTTGCGCGCTCGCCGCGCCCGGCTCACTGCGGCCGGCAGCTGCCTGCCGTGCGGAGCGGAGCGGAGCGCAGCCGCCCCGTCGGGGAGCGCCACGGCGGGGCGGCGGCGGCGGCGGCGGCGCGGAGGATGAAGTGGAGCGTGCGGGGAGCCTGCGCCGCGCTCTCCAGCTGCCTCCTGCTCGCCTGCGCCCTCAGCGCCGCCGCCGTGGGCCTCAAGTGCTTCTCGCTGGGCTCCGAGCTCAAGGGCGAGCCCTTCCGCCTGGGCACCGCCGCCGGCGCCTTCTACTCGGGGCTGCTGCTGGCCGCCGGCCTCTCGCTGCTCGCCGCTGCGCTGCTCTGCTGTCGCCCGCCCGACGAGGCGCCCGTGGCGCCAGCTCCGGCACCGGCCCCAGCGCCGGCACCGGCACCGGCTTCTGCTTTGGCCCCGGCCGGGGACCCGGACCCGGCGAGCGGAGGCCCCGGAGGGGCGGAGGCGGCGGCCGCGCCGTCGGGGCCGGTGGAGAAGGCGTCGCCCGGGGGGCGGCAGAACTTCCTGCTTCTGGGGGTGCTGGTGTTCATGCTGGGCGTGCTGAGCGCCTTCGCCGGCGCCGTCATCGACGGCGACACCGTGTCGCTGGTGGAGAGGAAGTACTCGCACTATTGCCTGCTGCAGCCCGGCGGCGCGGCCCGCCCGCGGAGCGGACCCGCGGCCCCCGACGGCACCGCTGCGGCGCTCCGCTGCCAGAAGCTGCGGGACTACCAGCAAGGCTTGGTGCTCTCCACCGTTTTCAACGCGCTGGAGTGTCTCCTGGGCCTGCTTAACCTGCTTCTTGTCAAGAACTACAAGGCCGCGCAGCAGCGCGGACGGAGGCGGCGGCGGCGGCGAGCGGCCCCGGCGGCGGCGG